TTCCAACCTCCACCATTCTGTGATTCTGTGAAAGGCACTAGTTTCAGAAAAAGAAAAGCCTGGCTCAACGACATAGCTTCCAAACAGCTGGCAAGAGACCCCCTGAGCTAGCTGGGCTAGAGCACAGGGACCTCTGCACTGCTCTCCTGGGCACAGGGCAGCAGTAAGTCAACATGCCCCATCTTTAAGTGCAGCCAATCTTTAACAGAATGTTTCCCTCATCTGACCTTTTCTGCATATACAGCCACTGCACAGCAAGGGAAAAAAACATTCACAGCGCTCTGCAGATACCTGGCTGAGACCCAAATTGTGACACTGGATTAGCATGACTACTCCTGATACAGCACTGCACATGTTTCTAGTGTGCTGAAGGCACACTCTTCCTGTGTCCCATGACAGAAGACAATCACTGTAGATCATCACTGTGATCATCCACAATGCTGAGCTCCCCTGGGGTCTAGCACTACAGCAAAACATCTCAAAACCAAGTTTTGCTCTGAAGTTCTCAGGCAAGGAATTTTAAATCCTCTCCTTCCCCTACTCAAATGTTTTATCCTTGCAGTAAAGAAACTACATCTTTAAGACTGATTTCAACTTCCAGCCATAAAATCTTGTTACCCTTACAACAAATCATTTAGTTCTCCCTCATGCCCATCTCTCCACAGAGCAGGATCTCCATACAGACACATCACCTCCAACTCCCTCTTCAGTAATTCAAACAAAAATGCAGTCCAAAGCAGCTTTCTAAATACAGTAAGTCCACCTGCACTGCCTGAGCCCTGTAGCACTTTCAGACAAATATCACCGGCCTCTATTTTGACAGACATCTAACTGCTAAGCTTCACTTCATGCAGGCATTAAACTTATCTTTACCTGAACCAGTGACGGTGTGTGTACATGTGCAAGCTAAGGGGAGGAGGAGGGAATGGAATTTAATTTACACATTTGTTTGTGTATCATTTTTGTATATTGTACCTTCTCTCTTTGCTGGAGGATGCAGGATACCACAGCTGTCATGCACAGCAGAATCTGTAGAATTTCAGGCAGGTACTGATGGATCAAATGTCCCATGTTTTTCAACACAACTTCAAGACCATTGAAGAGGCTATGCTGACGCCCAAGAGGCAGGACTTTAGCTAAATCCAGCTCTGACATACTTCGAAGCACTGCAGTCTGGCAAGGTCCTGCAACACACAAAGGAACAGCTACCTATCTAGAGAAGCACCATGAAGATACTCACTACTGAAAATAATTTTCAAAGAAAAACAGTATAATCTGGCCCTAAATCACAGATCCTTACACTCAGCTTTTTAAATAAGCACAGCTCTGGCTCTCCATCCCTCTGTCACACTCGGATGTCTCCCACTGCTACAGTATCAGAGCACTTTACAACCTCTGTTTATTGCCATCATACATAGGCTA